ATGTTATTCAGTTCAATTCGGCCATATTGTTTTAAATGTTATTAATAATTATAATTTTTAAAAATCAATTTATACATTAATTAAAAATAAAATTAAACGAAAGTCAAACAAATGATTGGGTAACTGTGGTTGGTCGAATGCTTTGGATTGTCGCTGGATGTGGTTACTTTGTTACAACAATACAGTAATATAAAGATGCCACTGGAGCTCAAATAAGGCAACAGTTGGGTAACGGTGCAATCACAAACTGAGGATAGCACAAACTGAGGATAGCACAAACTGAAAGCGAAGCCAAGACTAGTTCTAATAAAGAGAATAGCTCAAAAAGCGGGTTTCTACCGTTTGGTGCGTGTGGCACAGTTAGTCAACCATGATTTAAGTTCAATCTCAAGAAATTCAGAATAGAGTCTTTTTGGAATAGTTGGCGGCTACTCAACCCATAAATCATTAGGCAAAATAAGAAAAAGACAGTCTGGTTGTTGTATAAACAAATGAAATTTCGACACATGTTGATTACTTCCTAGTCTTGCCTGAATTGCGAGATCTCGTAAATTGTCTTATGCTATAAATTTGATTTACCATTTCTAAAGACGCTCGCATAACATAAAACAGTTAGATTTTAAGGTTATGTTTAGGCCCACCACCAAGTCCAAATACCACGACAAGGTATTCCAAAACAATAGTTTCAATGTCTTACTTATGCTTTAAAATTCGTTGAAAACGATTGTTTCACATTGAATGTCGAAGAGCTATTGTACGTGAATGAATAATTGAATGATTGAATAAACTGACGAATAAAAATAATGAATGGATGGATGGATGAATGAATGAATGAATGAATGAATGGATGGATGAATGAATGAATGAATGGAATGAATTAAGAGGAAGAACCAGTTAATTAATAGATGGCAGTGATAAATGGATGAATAAATGAGCACCAAACAAACGAGTAAATGGATACATGGATGAATAAATACTATAATTGAACGAACGAACGAATGAATGAACACAGAAAATGAATGAATAATGGAGGGATGTATCGATGGATGAATTAATGGATGATGTAGCTTAGGGTTAAAATGCTTGCCTTCCAGTCAAAGCGTCCTGGGTCCAAATCCTGTGGCAGCATATGCCACTCCCGTAATGAAACTTTGCTGACAAAAGCCTTTGTAAACATGATTTTTTTTTAAATGGATGGATAAATGAATGAATGATTGAATAAATATATTAATTGACAAATAAAATGAATAAACGGATGCATGGCCTTACGGAATGAATTAATAGATGAATAAATGAATAAACAAAGAACGAGAGAGAATGAATGCATTAATGAATAAATACATACACAAACGAACGAATGAATGAAGAAAAAATAAAATAACGGAATGAATAATAAGCAAAAATTAATAAATAAGGAATGAATAAAAAGACAAGAAAGCTGAGTAGATAATGAACTTGACATGTCGGAAATAAAATCATAATATACTGTAATAGGAAATGTTGAGATATTAAAGTTGATCTCGGCTTAATTCTCAACAAGAATTGGATATAGAGTACCGTTATCATTATTGAGTTACTATAGCCCTATGAAATTGACAGTGGCCTTGTGAGTGAATTCCTTCTGCGGAGCACCATAAATCACCCTGCAAACAAGAGACAATCGCGTAGTGATTAAACAGGAGGCTTCTGTCTACTTTTCTCAATTCCTTTAATATTTTACATGGGGCTGCTGCATAGACTCGAAACTTCTGCAACAAAGTGAGAGTCTGGAATACCACCAGATTGTGGTAATTCTGATAAACTAATACCGGTCGGAAATCTGAGCTACTGATGCACATTACTTAGTGGCGGCAAAGATATTGAAATGGGAGGCATGGGGGTGGGGGACTGATGGGGGGTCGCCATGGTTAAGTGGGAGGAAACAATGATTAAATGAGCTACTCTAACTGGCAAAAAAGTGATATTAGTGATTTAGAACTTGAGTGTACTTTTTTCCTCACAAAATTGTCAATGTAGTTGCGTGTTGGAGTGGGGGACGAGTTTAG